TCCCTAGGTGAGGCGTGCCGCTCACTCTCACATTGTGAGCGAGACGCCTTCTGGGTGAGAGCGGGCGTTTAGGCACCTCCTCAGTGTACCCGCCCGCCCTTTCTTTTCTCTGACGGCTGGCTGAGGCAAGGTGTGCCAGGTTGGTTGTAGCAGCATACTTCCTCATTCTCCTCGTCCTAGTCCTCGCGTCCTCCTCCTCGTGCTCCTCGTCCTCCTTCTCGTCCTCTGCCTCCCCTGGGATCCTGGCATCCCAATTTTTTCACTGGTCGTTTGCGCCTAGTTTCGGGCCTTGGGACCATCCCGTATCGATCTGGCTCTCAAGCAATGCAGCACGAAGATGGGATCGGGCTCCAGTCGCGATCTTTCGCGATCTTGCATTTTTTCGCCAGGTCGGATCTCAGGGTCGTCCTCCTTTTCCTCGTCCTCCTCTTTTTCCCCGTCCGCCGCCTCCTCCCCCCCGTCCTCGGAAGGACAGATGTTATGTGTCCAGCAGGCACGTGAGCAATGCACACGGTGCAGGCCAAGCGCCCGTCTTGGGCCGTCTTGGGACCATCTTTGGGAGTGTCGGCAATGCGAAAATGGTTTAATTTGCTAACCTTTATGGCTGAGGGGACGCGAGTGTTGCGTAATTTACGACGGTTTGTTGCCTCGGGGACGCAAGAGTTGTATAACTCATTAAGGTTTTGTTGCCTCGGGGACGCGAGCATTGCGTCGGAGGTTGGGGGGTGAAATCGCAGTGGGACGGAGACCCCCAATCAGGAAACCGTTTCGTTTCGTTCGTGTCGTGCGTGCGGGCGAGGCGAAGCTGCGTCGGCGCGCGAGAGGAATGAACCGCCGTTGCTAGGGCGAAGTCAAGACAAATGATTCTCCCCCACCCGCCCGCTCGGCGGTGTCCCGCGGTGTCCCGCGGTGTCCCGCGGTGTCCCGTGGTGTCCCGTGGTGTCCCGTGGTGTCCGCCGTCGCTAGGACGAAGTCAAGACAAATGATTCCCCCCCGCCCGCCTGTCCGGCGGTGGCTCGCGGTGTCCCGCGGCGTCTCGTGGTGTCCAGTGATGTCCGCCGTTGCTAGGGCGAAGTCAAGACAAATTATTCTCCAACGCCCGCCCGTCCGGCGGTGGCTCGCGGTGTCCCGCGGTGTCCCTTGGTGTCCCGTGGTGTCCCGTGGTGTCCGCCGTTGCTAGGGCGAAGTCAAGACAAATGATTCTCCCCCGCCCGCCCGTCCGGCGGTGGCTCGCGGTGGCTCGCGGTGTCCCGCGGTGTCCCGCGGTGTCCCGTGGTGTCCCCTGGTGTCCGCCGTTGCTAACGCGAAGTCAAGACAACTGATTCTCCCCCGCCCGCCCGTCCGTCCGACCGTCCGGCGGTGGCTCGCGGTGTCCCGCGGTGTCCCGTGGTGTCCCGTGGTGTCCCGTGGTGTCCCGTGGTGTCCCGTGATGTCCCGTTGAGTGAGATCGATAGTGAGATCGATAGTGAGATCGATGTGGTGTCCCGAGGTGTCCTAAGCTGTCCCGTTGAGTGAGACCGATCGTGAGATCGATAGTGCGACCGATAATGAAATCGAGAGGTGTCCGGCGGTGTCCCGTGGTGTCCCGTGGTGGCCCGTGGTGTCCCGTGGTGTTTTGTTGAGTGAGATCGATAGGAGGATCGATAGTGAGATCGACAAGTGTCCCGAGGTTTCCCGTGGTGTCCCGTGGTGTCCCGTTGAGTGAGATCGATAGTTAGACCGATAGTTAGACCGATAGTGAGATCGAGAGGTGTCCCCCGGTGTCCCGTGGTGTCCCGTGGTGGCCCGGTGTGTCCCATGGTGTCCCGTTGAGTGAGATCGATAGTGAGATCGATAGTGAGATCGACAAGTGTTCTGTGGTGTCCCGTGGCATCCCGTTGTGTCCCGTGGTGTACCGTTGTGTCCCGTTGAATGAGATCGATGATGCGATCGAGAGGTGTCCCGCGGTGGCCCGTGGTGGCCCATGGTGTCCCATGGTGTCCCGTTGAGTGAGATCGATAGTGAGATCGCCAAGAGTCCCGTGGTTTCCCGCGGTGTCCCGTAGAGTGAGATCGATAGTGAGATCGATAGTGAGACCGATAGTGAGATCGAGAGGTGTCCTGCGGTTCTCCGTGGTGTCCCGTGGTGTCCCGTTGAGTGAGATCGATAGTGAGATCGATAGTGAGATCGACAAGTGTACCGTGGTGACCCATGGTGTCCGCCGTTGGTAGGGTGAAGTCAAGATAAATGATTCTCCACCGACCGCCCGTCCGGCGGTGGCTCGCGGTGTCCCGCGGTGCCCCGTGGTGTCCCGTGGTGTCCGCCGTTGCTAGGGCGAAGTCAAGACAAATGATTCTCCCCCGCCCGCCCGTCCGGCGGTGGCTCGCGGTGTCCCGCGGTGTCCCGCGGTGTCCCGTGGTGTCCTGTGGTGTCCCCTGGTGTCCGCCGTTGCTAACGCGACGTCAAGACATCTGATTCTCCCCCGCCCGCCCGTCCGTCCGTCCGTCCGGCGGTGGCTCGCGGAGTCCCGCGGTGTCCCGTGGTGTCCCGTGGTGTCCCGTGGTGTCCCGTGGTGTCCCGTGGTGTCCCGTGGTGTCCCGTTGAGTGAGATCGATAGTGAGATCGACAAGTGTCCCGTGGTGTACCGTGGTGTCCCGTTGAGTGAGATCGATAGTGAGATAGATTGAGTCAGATGTTGGTTCCCCCCCCTCTCTCTCTCTCCCCCCACACACAACCTCCGTATCACACGAAGTGTGGTCGCATATGTATTTTACGAGGGATTATGGCTTCGGGAGCGCAAGTCTCATGTATTTACGTGTCCCCCACCCTCCCATTCGGGCGTGGTAAATTGGATCCTTTTGGGCTCCACCCCTCGCGCGGACCTCAACCATTTATAGTAGGAAGCAGAAAGCAGGACAGTCACATTGGAGACTTGAAACTGCAACTGTCGCAGGGAGCAGTAACTTCGTCCTACAGCCTGTTGGCCCCACAAGGGGCTGGCGGATTTTTCTTCACGCCCCACAGGAGAAGCAATCCACCTTTGTGGAATTGCAGAAAGCATCTGCACCTGTGAACGATGAGGGGATCGCCCTGCCAGAGGTGCCCAGAGGAAGGGGAGGAGCACGAGCGTGGTCGTGACGCGAGGCGCGACTTGCCGTTGATACATGCCCACTTGGCGGAATCGGTAAGCAGGCAGATCATGACCCGGCAGTTCGGCGCACTCGGGCACTCGTCCTGTGCTGATAAGACTATCGCTATGCTCGCGCGTATTGCGGCCAATAGTGCCGAGGCGCTCCGCTGACGGAGGCGCAGGGCCGAGGTCTCGCTGTCCCAGGGTTGGGGTGGAGGTGTCGGTCTTGAGGGAGGAGGATCTGCCTTCCCCGCGCCTCAGTCCCCTGGGCTGCTCTCACAACGGCCGCGCCTTTTTTCTGTCGGGTGCCGGCAATTTTGGAAGCCAGCACCACCTTCTTGCAGAGCTTGTGCCCAGCTGCAAATCGACCTACCGACCTATACCGACCCGGCCGACCAGTTCTTACACCGACCGACCGACCTATACCGACCTATACCGACCAGTTCTTACACCGACCGACCGACCTATACCGACACGGCCCTTCGCCTCTCGTGCGGGCACTGCAGGCAGGCGCTGCGCGCTTGCGAAGCCTTGAGTGGTATTTGCCCTCGGACGGCCCAGTGCCGAACAGAACAAGGACTCCCAGATGCCCCCCTTGGAGCCATCTTGGAGCAAGTGGTGCTGCTGGTGCTGGTGATGCCTGGGGCCATCTTGGGGGTAGGAGGAGGAGGAGGAGGAGGAGGAGGAGGAGGAGGAGGAGGAGGAGGAGGAGGAGGAGGAGGAGGAGGAGGAAGAGGAACAGAAAAGGAGGAAGGGAATGAGGAGGAGAAGCAGCAGGAACGCGGCGCGAGGAGGATGGAGAGGAGCAGGGAGGCGGCAGGAAAGAAGCAAGGAAGGAAGGGACGATGACAAGGAGGACGAGAAGTCGGGCTTTGGGCATATGTCGTGGTGAGGGGTTCTTCGAAGACTCGTAATGCCGTTTGGGGGTCCTCTTGGGGTCCTCTGTGGGCCTTCTTGAGACCTTCTTGGGGCTTTTTTGATGGGTCTTGGAGCCCTCTTGGGGCTCTTTGGGGGGGTCGGGGTCTGGGAGGCCTCTTGTTTTGCGAGAGGTCTTTGGGCACATGTTTTTGCGAGAGGTTTTTGGGGAACTCTTGGGGCCATCTTACGAGCTCTCTTGGGCTCTTCGTGGGGCTCTCTTGGGGCTCTCTTGGGGGCCTCTTGGGGCTCTCTTGAGGCTCTCTTGGGGCTCTTTTGGGGAGTCTCGGGGCCCTCTTGGGGCTCTCTTGTGGGGTCTCGGATGCCTCTTGGGGTCGTCTTGGACCCCTTCGCTTAGAAAGAGGGGGGGGGTCTGAAATTTACGGCTCCCCCTCGAAGGCCCCAACGGGGCGTCTTGGGGCCCTCTTGGACCGCTCTTGGGGTGCTTTTGGGCGTTCTTGGGACCGTCTTGGGACTCTCTTGGGCCTCTCTTGGGGCTCTGTTGGGCCATCTTGGGGCCATCTTGACGCCTCAAGAGCCCATTGGAAGCGAGAAAGCGAAAAGGCAAAACACATTTATTTTCCTAAGTTTTTGAACCCATTTTGGCCTCTTGGGGGGTCCTTGGAGGGCTCGGAGGGCACTTGAAACCGTCTTGGGGCCATCTTGAGGCCTCTTGGATGCGTGTTTGAGGCTGTCTTGAGCCGTCTCGAGGCATCTTGAGCGATCTTGGAGGCCATCTTGGGCTAGCTGAAGCCCTGTTGAAGCTACCTTGGGCCATCTTGGACGCTCTAACCCCTCGCGGGGGAGCCCGCCCGGACCCAGGGAGGCGGGGGGGGGGAGGTAAACTTCCCGAGCCGGGAAAGGAAAAGGAAGTGTTAGAAGAGGAAACGCCCTAGACCACCTGCGCCCAGAGGGCTGGTGGGACTCCGTCCTCGACGGTCCCCTGCCGCTCCCCTCGGAGCTCCCGGTCCCAGCCTCACCCACCCGGGAGCCCCTTGACGCCTGCCACCGTCTCGACTTCGAGCACCCTCGGGGAGTCGAGCCCTCCCGCGAGCGCGCTGCGCACGGTGGCCTGGACCCCGGCGGAGCTCCAGCGGGGACTCCGCCTCGGACACCAGACCCTGCCCGACGAGCCCCCGGGACCAGCAGGTGCAGCACGTGGCCCACGTCCTCCTCGAGCCCCTCGGACTGGGAGCTCCCGACGGTGCCCCCGACGTGAACCCGCACTGAATCTCCTTCTTCTTCTTCTTCTCCACCTTATCCACCTCCTTCTCCACGAGCCCGCATCAACGACCACCGACGCCGCGAACTCGTTCACCCGGACCTGCTTGTCGCCGTCACGCGAGGACTCCTCGACGACCTCCGACGTCCCGAACTCGTTGACCTTGTCCAGCTTCTCATCGTAGACCGAACCCGCATCGACGACCTCCGACGTCCCGAACTTGTTCTCCTTGCCCAGTCTCCCCTTGTAGCACGAGCCCCCGTCGACGACCTCCGACGGCGCGAACTCGCACTGCTTGCTCATCTCCTCGCCGATCACCTCGAGCGCGTCATGCTCGAGCCTCTACTGGGCGAGGCGACTCTCCTGCGCGCCTGAGACCCTCTGGAACGACAGCTGGTTGGCCTCGACCACGGCCTTCGGCAGGCCTCCGACCTTGGACGGCGGCTCGGCCTCCCGGGTCCCCTCAGACTGCAATCTCATGCCGCCAGCCTCCGACTCGACGATCCTGAACAGCATGCAGTCGCAACGTGAGCCCCCCTCGACGATCCCCGACGTCCCGAACTCGCTGGCCTCGACCTGCAGCTCCTCGAAGCACGAGCCCGCATCGACGACGCCCAGCGCCGCGAACTTCACCTCCAGGTACCGGTCCATGAGCGCCTCGTCGTGGGGCTTCCCCTCGGACACGGTGCTCTCGGTGTCCGCGAGCTCGAACCAGTCGACCCGCTTCAGTCCAACACCTTGTCCTTCTTGCATTTTTTTGTGTTTCGTTCCCTTCTTTACCTTCTTCTCTTTCATCGCCCTCTTTGAGCGCACGTTCACGCTGTCCTCCTGGGCCTGCCACGCCCGCTCGAAGTCCAGCCTCGCCCGGGACTTGGCTGGCGACGCTGTCCGCTCCACCAGAGATCCGGGCCTTTTCCATCCTCGCCTGCTGGCAGGGCCCAACGTCCCCCAGCGGCGGCGATGGCGGCGCCACGGATCCGTCCAGGATCGCCAGCGGCGGCGATGCCGCGGGCGTGGAGGACGGCTTCGCCGTGGGCCGCGTCCTTGCTGGCCCCTCGCCCATCGCCAGGCGCGCCGCCCGCTGACGGATGGCCTGCGGGCTGGCGACCGCGGCACCCGAGCACCCAGCAGCACGCGCCCTGTCGCCGCCACCGCTGACGAGACAGCCGCCTGGACGATCACCGCGGTGTCCGACTCCCCTCGCGTGCTGGCGCCACGGAGCCCTTGCCAGAGCGGCATCCGTCTGCGCCCCGCGCCATGCCATCCAGTGGCCCTCGCCAGCTGCGGTACTTCGAAGAGCGCCGGCGAACGCGCGAGCGCCCCGAGCTGCGGGGCGCCCTTGCTCGCGCCGAAACGGCTGAGGAGGAGGGGGAGGAGGAGAAGGAGGAGGAGGAGGGGGGGAGGAGGAGGAGGAGGAGGATAAGGAGGAGGAGGAGGAGGAGGTAGAGGAGGAGGAGGAGGAGGAGGAGAGGAGGAGGAGGAGGAGGAGGAGGAGGAGGAGGAGAGGAGGAGGAGGAGGAGGAGGAGGAGGAGGAGGAGGAGGAGGAGGAGGAGGAGGGATGATGATGATGCTGATGATGATGAGGATTATGATGATGGTGATGATGATGCTGATGCTGATGATGGTGATGAGGATGCTGAAGATGCTGCTGCTGCTGATGATGTATCTGATGATGTTCATGATGCTGTTGATGCTGATGCTGATGCTGATGATGATGATGCTGATGCTGATGATGCTGATGACGCTGATGATGCTGCTGATGATGCTGATGATGCTGATGATGTTGATGGTGATGCTGATGATGTTGATGATGCTGTTGATGCTGATGATGCTGATGATGCTGATGATGCTGATCATGCTGATGATGCTGATGATGCTGATGATGCTGCTGATGATGATGGTGATGATGAAGGTGGTGGTGGTAGTTGTGGTGATGATGATGCTGATGATGATGATGGTGATGATGGTGATGCTGGTGATGATGATGCTGATGATGATAATGATGATGATGGTACTGGTGGTGGTAATGGTGGTAGTGACGGTGGTGGTGGTGGTTGTGGTGGTGGTGATGGTGATGGTGAGGGATTACGGTGATGATGATGCTGATGATGACGATGATGATGATGATGGTGCTGCTGATGATGATGATGATCATGCTGATTGTGGTAATGATGATGCTGATGATGATGATGATGATGGTGGTGGTGGTGGTAGTTGTGGTGATGATGATGCTGATGATGATGGTGATGATGGTGATGCTGGTGATGATGATGATGATGATGATGATGATGATGATGATGATGATGTTGAT